TTTAAAAATAAAATTGTATGTGCATATGTTTTTAAAATGTGAATACCTCGTAGACATTTAGAGATTATTATGTTCTATTATCATTATTATACATATGATTTTTAATAAAAATTAATACAAAAAAGTTTAATGATAATTTATTTTACAACTTTTGCAAATAACTAAATAGAGAATTTGAAATTTATTGAACAAAAGGTAGAGTAAAAAACTTTTATTTGGACTCAATTAATTATGTCTTAGGACAATTGACTTGGATAGGATTTGTGAAGTTAGTGAAGACTTAAAAGCTCATTAAATGAGTTATATAAGAAATTCGTTTTCTCTCTTCTTCATATTTTTTATTACTTTTTTTTTTTGTAAAGGCTTTATGGAAGGCAAAATACTTTGGATTGACTTGTTGGTGCATAATTTTAGAGCTTTGATCTTGAGGTTTGTATCTTTTTTAATTTCCCTAAATTCCTTTACATTATTAATATATCTTGCATTTTTTTTTTGAATTGACGAATCAATTTCGACTTGCATTCTATTTTTTTGGTAGTTAATCTAATCTAAAGATGAACTTGTGAGTTTTTTTAATGCATGAATTTCGGGTATGAATTAAGAAGATTTATAATTCTTTATTTTAGGTTTAATTGAATTTTAGTTCCTATAGTTGATTTAGTGCATTAAGTAATGCTTGGTTATTCAAATCTAAATTAATCAAAATTCTAGATGCTTAAATCAGCTAAGATTCTTAAATTTAATTTGTGCCTATTTAATTAAATTTGTATCAAACAAATTTTAGAGAAACAGTTGAGATTAATCTCTTTTAACTTACAATGGATCCACTTGAAAATTGAGCCAATAGGTTAATTTAACATTTAATTTGTTTTCTTCCTCGTGCTCTTAGCATTCTAAAATCTTTTAAAAAATTCCTCCCCTACCATCTTAGTTGATTAATTGCAATTAAATTTATCCTTGAAACAATTAAGATCATATTACTTTCTACTACACTTAATTGTAATTATTTTGAGCTGAACATGACATCAGTTTGTTAGCTCCCTCTGTCGGCTCCTTATTAAACCACCATCATGTTGCAAAACCAATTAAATTTACAAGCAGTAGGTATAAAAAATATAGAGAAAAATCAGAGGAAAAAAATAATACAAAATAACAGGATGAAGAATTTATTTAAACTAAAAAAGCTAATTTAAATAACCCAAGATACCTAACCATGAGAATAGTTCTAATCTATATAAACACCTTTTATTGGTTTGATTATTATTTTTTCTTAGTTTTCGAGTTACAAATATATATAAAACATATTTTGAGCTTGCATAATGCATTGCAATATTGTGCGTGCTCTCTCTCATGCTTTAATGGTAGCTCCTGCAGAAGCACAGGCAATCCAAATCTTATCGAGTTAGGATTATTATGAATTTATTATAGAAAACCAATTGCAGAGCATTTTAGTTGTGGCATTTTATTGCCGGAATTAGGAAAGGTGAGTTATTATGTATCTGAAGAGCACATCCCAAAAGCTTAACTACAAGCAAAGTGAGGATAAGATAACAGGGATAAAGAGAAGCGAATGAATGAGACGCTTGCACATATGGGTAGGTGACGGAGTGATGACGATGGATGGAAGAGTGAGAAGTGGTAAACGTTTTTGAAATTGAAACTGAAGCAATGGCAGGGCTTTTGGCTCATTCACAATAAATCTACCTACTTTTGGGGAGATTCTCAGCACTCTGATTATGGGCTTTTACTCTTCTCTTTACCAAAAAATAAAAAGGAAAAAATCAGCATTGTGTGGGTTGTGACTTGGTCATCTTCCTCTCGATAAGGTCTTCATTTAATAATAATATAGGAAGAGAAAGAGAAGGTGCCAAAAGTACAGAGTTTGAATCAGAAGCAGGCCAACATGCTTTTTCCATGTGTCTGTCTCTCTGTCCCTTCTTCAGCGGTTGAGTGTGTAATACTGAACACACTTCAAATTTCAAGATTCTATCAGACATTGAGCTGCGCGCCATGCCCAACAAACACACCACAATTTTCCCGCCTTTGCTCTTTGCAAACTCTTTGCTCCTTGCTCCATCACACTCGGAGAAACTTCCACCACGTGTCAAACACACATTCTCAATTAACGTTTGTTAAACAAAGTCACATGTTTTACCCTTCGAAATCTTTAAGACCTTTTTGTTGTTGTTGTTGTTCCCTTTCCGACTCCATTCTCCAAAATGTCTCTTATTTCCTCCGCACAATGGAGGTTAGACCCCCTGGGCAATGCTTAACTAAATAGCCTGTTAAATGTTAATATACTTCTTTGTCACTATTCCTAAATAACAATAATTTTAAAATTATATTAAAAAGTTTTTTATTAAATTTTTAAAGAGTATTTATTTTGTTTAATATAACAAAATATTCATCATTAATAATTCTAATGAAAATAAAACTAATTATATAATAATAAATTTAGAACTCATTCCATTTTAACATTGACATTATTTTTTCAATCTTCATCTTCATAAACAAGTTTGGAACAAACTTAAGTCTTGTTAAGACTTTACTCAATAGTTTTCTGGAAGAATAGACCAAGCAAGTAGAATGCCTAAATTAATTTTTTTCAAAAATTTATTCTATGACAAAAATACTTTTGCATAAAATGCACGAATCACGATCTTATCTTCAAAGGTTAATTATTAAGGGCAATGAGTAAAAAAAAAGGAATACTAAAATTCATATTGATCGACTTTCCAATAATCAGTGATATGTCAAATCTTTGATATGGTCTATTCCAAATGTGGTGAAGATTTTCACTAGTCTAATTATTAGAGTACAGGATAAATAATTTCATATCTCAAATATTATTCGAGAAACTTTAATAAATTCGAATACAAAGTACTCTTGTACACACTTCTACCGTACATATCTAATGTATTTATAGCCCATAATCTTGAGAGAACAATATTGCATCGATAAAAAAAAAATTATTTGTTTTAATACAGATCCTTTCACTGAGTTCACATAATTAGATGTAATAAGTGAGTTTATTATTTAAAATATTTTACATACACAATAATTTAAATTCAAAATTTTATTTAAACAATATTAAATTACTTGCTTGAATTAACTTCTATTAGTATTTACAAATATATTTTTAACATTACTATGTTTATTTAATGTATATTATTATTGAATACAAATGTTCTTATATAAAGGTTATTTTTTATTATTTTCTCTTATTGAATCAGTAGATGTCAGTGTCAGCGTATTTTCACTTATAGCTTTCAATTCTTAATTTAAATAGATACTAGAAAAACAAAGTTAATTTCTATCCCATCTTGCTTTTCTAGTTAGGTGTCAAGTTCAGGAAAAGTCTTTATAAAAATCGTTGATGATTTGGTTTTTCTTTTTAACTCTTTTTTTGTTTTACTTGTTTGTTTGATTTTTTTTATTTACTAGTTAAAGATGTAAAATAGATAAAATCCTAACACAATAGTTCAAAATTACAAGCAAGAAAAACACAGAATTTATTTTTTTTATTCTTTAAGTTAATTGGTACCCATGAACTTGTAGAAGCGTATAAGGGCAGCCTTTAAGACAGCTTTGAGACCATACAAGCCTAAAAATCTTTAGACGATGTGATTTTAGATTATCCCTTCATCTCAGTCTTGAGCATTTGTTTCCTCAAACATTTATTAGATAATGTGACTTAAGAAAATTTATTATTATTTATCTTAATTTTGAGAATCCTGCACGGTTAATACAAGTCGTCAATTTTCTTAATGCATTCAATTATACATTTGTTTATATTAGAACCGAAGGTTAAACGATCCTAGTTTTAACACATTCTAAATTTTGTAATATTATTTATAATAATTATACTTAATTTGTAAAGTTCTTTATAAATAAATGAAAAAACTTCTGATAAAATCATGCCTAAATTATTGGGCGACCCAAGTGAATCAATAGTAATGAAAAACTAAAGAGTTATTAAGAAAATTACGCTTAATATCAAATTTAATTTTGATTTGATGCAAAATATTTATGACAAAGGAGGATCAGGATTTGGATCTCCTCATGTTGAATGTCGAACATGAGGGTCATGTTCTGTTATTTTTTTGCATTCGCTTAAGCGAGTAAAATTTTCGCTTAAGCTAATGCAAAAAAATAATGGAACATGACCCTTATGTTCGACATTCAACATGAAAGGATCCTGGAACAAAGTATCATGTTAACTTGTGCATAGATAAATTACTTAAAAACATATAACATTTTTAATTAAATAGTCCCAATTATTTATAAAAATAAAGTATAAATACCTATTTAGTTTATATAATTTATTTTGATTTTAGTTTGCGTTTCTTTATTTTAAAAGTTTGGTCTTTGATATTTATCATTTTAAAAATTTTGGTTTTGACCGCTGTTATAACAATATGCCAAAACATATGCCTGGCAAAATTTTGAAAATGTTTCTTTAAAAGATATAATTACTTTATTTTTTCAATTCTTTTAGGAAGCATTAAATGAAAAAATTACCCCAAAATAAATTATCTCAAAACAATAGTTGATATTAAGTATTACAACTTCTATTTTTAAACACTCAAATAATATCAACACTTATTTAATACCTTGCATTCTTCTCCATCTCTCTCTTCATGCAAATTATATTATCTATAATTTCTCTTTTTTCTATATCTTTATCTCAAGGAATGGAATGCCTATCAATCATTTTAACGAAGTTTTGAGGCTAAATGATAAAAGATGGACTAATAGATCCAGCACCAGCTATTTGCTAACATGAGCAAGAACATGAAAAGTGAAAAGAGCGAGAAGTGGGCTGCAAGGATAATATAGATATAGCAAATGTTAAACAATAATTTACCGGTATTAATTAAAGAATTAAAAGTAAAATCATTTTAAAATGCTATCAATACACATCACCAGTAATTTTCAGTACAATCCAACATAACTTTTAATAAAATTTTCTAATTTCAATTTCTTTATCCGTGGCAGTAGTTCGCATTACCATTACATATATATAGAATTTGGTGCCAAAATTTCAAGACATAGTACCATACCATACCAACAAGACGTGTATTCAGCAAATATATGCACTAAATGGTTGTTTTGTCATTCTTTTTGGCGTCTTTCTTTCGCTTCCTCTCATATTGAGGATCTTTGGTCTTTAAATCATTAGAGAAGGTCCTCAACAAGCCAGAGAGATGTTCATTTCGATGACCTGAAACCAAAATAAGGAACATCAAAGAACATAATATCAGATACCAAAAGATGAACAAAGTCATTTCATTCGCATCGAAAATCAGCCAAAATTCAACGAAACTGACCACAGAGTATGACATCTTCCATATTTACAGATTTACGATTCGCATGCTGCGCAAAGAGCTGAACATCCTTAGCCACTCGCTCTGCTCACAAAACACATTGTTTAATTTCATTGTTTCAAACGACCATTATGTCATACATGTTGCAATCAAATTGTACTGATCTTCATAAACGGCATTTCCATTTGATGTCGTTTATCTTAATTTTAACAAGGAACAGCAAGAAAGGATTGTTCAGCAAACGATAGCGATAGTGATGTTACCCGCATATTTGAAGGCCAAATCAGCGACGCATGAGACTACGACTTTTGAAACTTCGATGCCGTTTTGTTTTGCTGCAAAGACGCATCGCCGTACACAAGAATTAGGAACTCGAGTGGGAAAAAAACGTGAAATTCATGAGATGAAGAATTGAACCTTGAGATTCGGCGATTGAGATAGCGGAGAGCCTGAATCTATCTCTCAAGAGCTTCATTTCCGAATCATTTTCCACTTCGCTGCTCCCATCCAAACCTTCCATCGAGTTTGTTTCCAATGGAGGGAAACCAAATGACTCCAAAAATGTGGAAGCAATATTAATGGGCTCCACTGAGAGTGCACATTCATATGGGTCCAATCTCTACATGCCTTTTGGGCCACTCCAATACAACTTGGTTCATAACACTGTGACCCGATTCAAATTCAGTTTTTACTCTTGACAAAAAAAAACACTCTCGAAATAAAGGGTCTGGCTAAATTTAAAACAGAAAAAAGAAATTATTATTTTTTAAAATAAAACGGTAAAAAACTCTAAAAATATTGATATAATTGATTTTGATGTTAGGTATTATTGATATTAATTTTGACATGTCCTTTTTTTTTTCTGGGTTTTAAAAATCTATTTCTTTACCCCCTTGGTTGATATCATTATCAGCAAGTACCATATGTGAAAGATGAATCCTGGAAAAAGAAGGAACGTAATATACCTCTGTATCAAAATTGGGTTCAATTAACGCACATTTCAGTGTTCATAAATTTGATATTAATCCTATAATTTTTTTATTGATTTTGATTTTCATAAAATTGTTTTCTTAAATGGTCCTTGTTAATTCTTAGCAATAACGTAATCTATATTTAACTTGATTTTGTATTTTATAGCATTTGACTGCAAGAATGTATATAAATATTAAAATTTATTTTATAAATAATTTTAAAAAATAATAAACTTTAAAGAAGTTATATGTTGAAGTAGGGTAAATTATACAACTACAGATGGATTTAATAAAAGACATGAAATGAGCATGATAACATCAAACTATGATATCACTTTTACATCTATCTCGTATTAGACTATAATATCTCGTATTTTGGATCCTAGTCCGAAGGAGAGGCTTGCTCTTATTTGATGCATTGATCAACCTAGTATGGTTTTGGAAGATTTTTCATACTTACGGGATGTAATAAGATTTATTTTTAATAAATGATGAATAAAATAATTTATTTTCTTATCCATTATAATTTAATTTGAAATTATTGCACCATCTATCTCATTACACACGAGTAAATTCAAAGAGGTAACGGGGCAAGGTTTCATTACGTTCATATATTTGTAAGTATTATTTTTTAATCCTACAATGTGCAATTCTTTTTTTTGACCGATAAAAATAGTGAACAAAAATTAGTTGTTAACTTTTTATATTTTGAGACAGCTTGTCATCTTTTGACATTGAACACAAAAACAAATAGGAAAATTATTAGTAAATAGTGTGAATAATCAATTTTATCTGGACTTCTTTTTAAAATAATTTTAAAAATTAAAAATTAAAGATAATGATTAAATTTTGTAAGAGGTTAAGATATAGATAAAAATATTTAAAAATTTAATTTTTAAATTTAAAATAGATAGTAGATTAATAAATAAAAACTAACTGTGTAGATTTTTAAGAGAATGCATGAGATAGTGGAGAAAAGAATTTATTGATGGTCATTGAAAAATAAATGATTGTGTAAAGTTGGAGTCTTTTATTTTAAAAAAAATGATATTAAATAGAATTTAGAGTTTGGGATGTGTGAACTGTAAATAAGAGTTGTATCCTCAAATAAAAGGAGAATTATAGAGAGTACGGGAAACAAAAAAAAAGGGGGGAAAAGAGAAAAAAAAAAGAAGAAAGAGAAAAAAATGAGAAAAAAATAAATATTCTGTGAGCATTATAATTTTCAAAGCAAGCATCTTAAAGCCAATTAGAAAAAACAAAAATTTAAAAGTTGAAATAGAAAGGTCGAATCAAAGAACCTAAATAATCAAGTCAACAAAAATAATGTGAAAGAAAACCTATTTTTTTTATTGGTCAAATTAAGTAAGAGTTCTAATATTTGTTTGCTTTTATTCTACTATATTTTTTCTTTGTGAGTTTCTCTCTTGTTTTCTACTTGTTCATTAAAAAAACTTAAACTTTTCTAACCAGACAAACATTTCCCTTTTGTTTTTGTAAATCCTAAAAACCTAATTTTTTCTAACCCTAAACATCTTTCTCTTTTACAAACTCTAAAAATACGTAATCTTTTCTAATCTTAAATATATTTCTTTTTTGTCAATATTAAAAAATTTAATTTTTCTATCCCTAAAAATCTTTACTTTTTTTTTTGTTAATTCTAAAAAGCTAATATTTTCTAATCTTAACAATATTTTTTTTTCTTTACAAACCCTAAAAACCTTTTTTTTTAATCTAAGACAAAATCTTTTTTTTTTGCAAACTCTAAAAACCTAAATTTTCTAACCCTACAAATCTTTTTTTTTTTTTTACAAACCCGAATTTTTCTAACTCTAAAAAGCTTTCCTTTTTCAAACCCTAAAAACCTAATCTTTCTAAACCCTAACAATCTTTTCTTTTTGCAAATCTTAAAAAACAATTTGATTCTTTCTATACATATGTTTTTTTTTCTCAAAAAAGGGGGAAGGGAGTTTGAATCCACGTAATGGCCAAGAGATATTGATAAAGTGGTGGATCTACCTTTAATATTGTTTAAATTGTAAGAGTTTGTTGAGTAGTTGTACGCTAACTTGAATCTTGTACAAAAGTGAATTTATTTTTAAAATAAGAAAAGTTTAATATTTTTAACATATTTTTGAATCCACGTAGCAACCAAGTGATGTTGATAAAGTGATGAATCTACTTTTAATGTTGTTTAAATCATAAGAATTTATTAAGTACTTGTATGCTAACTGGAATCCTGTACGCAAGAGTGAGTTTATTTTTAAAATAAGAAAAGTTGAATATTTTTATCATATTTTTGAATCTATGCAACAAGTGATGTTGATAAAATCATGAAATCAACCTTCAATATTGTTTAGATTGTAAGAGTTGATTAAGTAATTGTATGCTAACTCGAATCATGTGCAATAGTAAGTTTATTTCAAAAACAAGAAATCAAGGTGTATCCACCACTCTATCAAAATCACTTGACCGTCAGCGTAAATTCAAAATTATTTTAAAAATATTAAACTTATTTTAGAAATAAACTCACCCTTAGATTCAAGTTAACCATAACTACTCAATAAACTCTTACAATTCAAATAACATTGAAGGTGTATTTATCATTCTATCAATATTTCTTTGTCATTGCATAGATTCAAAATCTCTTTTTTTTTTCTTTAAGAAAAAAAATAGTGTGTATATATTTTCTAATAAAAGTAAACAAAAAGGAATTAATTTTTTTTAAGATTTGCAAAAAGAAAAAATTTTTAGGGTTTAGAAAGATTAGATTTTTAGGGTTTGGTTAGAAAAATTAGGTTTTTAGGGTTTGTAAAAAAGAAAGATTGAGTTTTAAAAAAATTAGGTTTTTAAGTTTACAAAAAAGGAAAGATTTTTAGGGTTAGAAAATGTTAGGTTTTTTGGACCAGTAAAAAAAGAAAAAAATTTTAGAGTTAGAAAAGATTAAGTTTTTTAAGATTTGCAAAAAAAAGAAAGATTTTGAGGATTATAAAAGATTAGAGTTTTTAGATTTTACAAAACAAAATATTTTTAAGGTTAGAAAAATAAATTTTTTAGGATTTGCAAAAAAAAAAAAAGATTTGTATGGTTATAAAAGAGTAGGTTTTTTTATTTTTTTTCTAATGAACAAGTAGAGATTCTTACTTGATTCGGCATATAGAGAGAAATAAATTCTCTTTTACGTTTGTTTTTGTTGAACTTTTTGTTATGGTTTAGGGTTCAAACTTTAGGCGTTCAGTTCTTTTTAATTCGTGAGTGCTTTAAAAATTGTATTACTTTCATAATGTTTGTTTCTCTTTCAGTTTCTCCTCTTTTTTCTTTCTTTATACTCTCCTTTTATTTCTTTTTATCTCTTGTACTCTCTAAAAAACTCATTTTTTTTTTCTCACAATACACCTCCTATTTATAGCTCACACTCTCTAAATCCTATTTAATATACATTTTTTTATTTTTAAAATAGATTTTCAACTTTTCATAATCTCTTATTTTTATGACTACTAATCAATTTTTTTCTCTACTATCTCATCTATTCTCCTAAAAATCTACACACTAACTTAATAATTTTTATTTTTTTAATTTTTATTCACTAATATATTATTTATTTTAAATTTTAAATTTAAAAATTTGAATTTTGAAATTTTAAATTAGTTTTTATTTATATCTTAACCTCATATAAAATCTAAGTATTATCTTTAATTTTTAAAATTTTAAATTATTTTGAAAATGGACTTTAATAAATTTGGTTATGCTGTAAATTGATTTGTGGTGTATTTGACTTTACAATTTAGACCCCAGATGAGTAATATAAGTGGTCAAATGTTCTTGTTTGGTTAAAAAAGATAATTTTGCTTTTAAAACATATTTAGATAACTATGAAAAATATTTTTTAATATAAAATTTCTATATGGTACTAGTTCATATGAAAAAAATAGCAACTTTTGATTAGAAAACATAAGAATACACTTATTCTCGTTATTTTTAATACATTTAACAAATACTATAACCAAATTTATTTTAAAATGGAAGTATTCATAAATAAATTACCTAAATTTAATTTTAAATAAAGATAATTTTATAAAATTAAAATAATCTAAAATTAAATTTATAATTATTAGTTCAAATATACTATTAGTTGTCAATTTAGATTATTAGATTCACTTCGACGATGCAAGTAACATAAATTTTATAAAATATTTAAGAAAAGAACAAATAATTTAAACTAGTGAAAGAAATAAAAAAAATGAAGATTTATGTTTTAAACAACCTAAACAGATGTCTATGCAAGAAACTAGTCTAGGAGTCTAAGTCTATGCAAAGAATATTTTAGATACAAAGAATAAATGATTTGAACTAGTAAAAGAAAAAAAAAGAAGAAATTTATATAACATTTTAGATACAAAGAATAAATGATTTGAGCTAGTAAAAGGTAAAAAAAAGAAGAAGAAAGGATTTGTTTCAAAGAACCTAAATTGATCTTGTAAAAAGGTAGCAACATAAAAAAAAGTTATGCAAACAATATTAATTTAATATAAATTGTCATATACAATGCGCTGAACAAAGAGTCCAATAAAAATGTAGTCTTTTCTCTTCTAACATTTTATCAGTTAAGACATAATTGCTTTAATTATTTGTTATAACTAGTACAACTTTATCCTCTTTAATCTTCTCCACAAGAGCATCAAACATCTTAAATAACTTTCACCGGTCTTCACAAAATTAGATCCATTAATGGATCTCACAAACATAATCCCAACAGGAAAGTTGACTAAAAAAATTAATCAAACATCTTTGCTTTCGATTAGCTCATGCATATTGTTCCTTTTGATCTTTTATAAGAGAGCAAGTATAATTTAGCTCTTTCTTAAGAAGTAGAACTCTAATATCATGATAACTCAGAGATGACAAATTTGGACTAAAGGCACTAATAGTTGTATGCATTTCTTGAAAGATTTTCATTTTAACAAGATTAAAGGAAAGACTAGATTGATACCAAAATTAAGCTATGTATTGATGGATCCTTGCCTTGGCTTCCTTATCTCATACTTCTCTTATATTTGCTTACTTCAATTTTAACTTCTTTCTTTTCTTTGACACTTTCTGGGCTTTCTACAAAACATGTTCATTGGCCTTTTCTTATTCCTCATAGCAATACTATGTGGTTGGCTATCTTTCTCATTCTCACTTTTATCGTAACTTATACTTTCAATGTTTCTTACATTTGGCATCTCCAAGTATTATTGACTCTTTTTATCCTTTTGATAGGCCATAAGCTCTTTTTTAACTTTTTTCTAGACACCTGAGGCAAGCTTTGACATTACCATTCTTTCCAATCAAATGTTGTTTCACTCTAATGATTCTAACCCTAATAATTTTTTCACAAAAATTACATACAATATTATTTGTATCATTCTCTTTCAAGGAATAGGCGCATTTTTATCTTGGATTAGAATGATTAGAAATTCTTAAAAATTTTGATGAAAATTCTTGTTGAACCATGCTAAGGAAAGCTGAAATAAAAAGAGAGGGAAAACTCAATAATGGAGAGAAAAAAATAAAGAAAAAAGTAGAGAAGTGGGAAAGGGAAAAACTAAAAAATGGAGAGGAAAAAAAAAAAGAAATGGGAGGGGGAAAAATTGAAAAATAGAGAGGGAAAAACTGAAATGAGAAAAATAAAGAAAAACTGAAAGAGGGAGAGAGACAAACGGAAAAAAAAAGCTATAAAAAAAATAGAGTTGCCAAAAATAGAAAAATTAGTCGCTAGAGATGGAATAATTGTCACTCATTAGAAAAACAAGAGTTGGAGCAACCCGAATAAAGAATGAAGAAGAGAGAAACTAGAGATGAAGAAGATAGAAGTGAAAAATGAAGTAGAGAGGCAAGATATTGGGATTGGACTCGTTAGTTCTTACTCTGGGTCTTTTTTGCAGAAATTTTTTTTATTCTTTTTTAAAAACTTTTATTTTTTTTTACCATAATCATCATTACCATGGTGTGGGTAATGACTGTTATGCTGCCGCCACCAAAAAATGCCATAAAACATCATGCCGGTACAGAGATGCATGGAAGCAGCCACCCCCATTCACCTTGGCCGCCATTCGACAACCCTATTTCTTAGGTAATATTTGCTACTGGCTTTTAGAATCCATGCATTTCATATATCATATAGGGCTGAATTAAGCTTTTATATTTACATATTTATTTTAAAGAAATGCTTGTTTATTTTTATTTTTAGTTTTCTAAGAAATTAATAAAAAAAAGTGATTATTTACCCCCAAAATAAGCTATACACTAAACATTTACTTATTTACGACTACGAAACAAGTTGCTCCGGCAATGATAATAGGTACAGGGACCGACGAAGGAATACAAAAATACAAGTGAAACAGCAATATCTGAACTACTACCACTGAAGTAAATGTTTCATTTAAATATCTTCCCTCAATAATCCATTACATGGTCAACAAATCCTTACATGACACCAATGCCCCCGGATATATGGAAACAAAATTACATGAACATTAAAGACAAAACAAGGAAAACAAAACCAGCAAAGCACCCCTAAAACCTGCAATGATGCACGTTGACACAAGGGAACTGCAAATTGTCACATTGTCCATTAATAGCTAGCCAAAATTTTAAGTTTCAGTTAAACCGTTCTCTAAACATGTAAGATGTAGCAGAACCCGATTCAAAATATTAGGAAAATAACAAAAATACTAGAATCAGTGACTTCATTTTGGTTATGTACCTCAACCTCCAAAAACCCTAGTAAGGCTCCTCTATAGGCAAAAATTGTGAGCCTCCTTTTCCTACCGGCTCCAACTCCTCTCTTTTGCGAACACAGAAAATGTAAATATACAGTCTTAAAGTTGACATCCAATATTCAACTGTTAGTGCATGAGCCTAAATCAGTCAGAGTCTCTTGAGAAACTCAATGAAGATTCTATTCCATTAGCAGACTCTTCTCCAATTGTCAAAGTTGACGGTTCCCTTGGCTGCAATTTTCCTCATTACCATTAATGCGAGATTCTCCAGGCCTCACTCTAATATTGTTACCCAAGGGGAAAGGTTCCTGCAGAGATAGATTAGGTCCATTTTGTCTCAGTATACAATATCAGCATAAGAACCAGGTATCAAAACTCAAAAAGTATCGCATGCTCATATAGCCTTTCTGAGGCACATAATGCTAGAAACAGTTAAAACCACAAAAACAGACTGCAGTATATAGCCATCAGAAGCAGCTTAAGTCAGACTCAGAACCATAATGCTTTAGTTATTTGCAAGTCAAATAATCATTTACAAAGTATTCCTACAAGAAAATATTTCATGTCAAACCAAATGAATGTTACCATTAAATGTCAGGCTAAAAAATTTAAAAGAGAGAGAACCTGTAATGTTACTCTCATTTTGCTTGTATCAACCCAACACATTAATGTAGACATCATTATATCAGATCTTTGAAACAAAATATCAGTACTATGATAGTTCCATTATATATTGTAGTTAGCAAAAGGAAAATAGTTACTGCTGAAGAACGAAGTGGATTTACCGGATTGCCAGCATTTGGCCCATCTGTATAGAAGAGAATAGGGCGACAACGTTTATCTTCATCCATCAGACTTGAATTCTGGAAATGAGCAATAAGCACAGCTTTTCCTCGAATCCGAGTATAGGCTAGTACAGCTACCCTTTCACTGTTGAACTTCTCCTATTTTTTACCCTTTAAAAGCCTGCCCAATGTTTCTTATCTATTAGATTTATCAACTAATAAAGAAACAAAAAGAAATGAATCAACTCAGAATTCATATCACAAAGATAAAAAAATCAAAACAGTATTGCATAAGGATTCCCAAATAACCTTGTGGAATGGAATAATTTGACCAGGATCAATCATATTGATGAATGCATAGCCAACATTACATGTGTTCTGCAACCATTTTTAGAATTGACTTAGAAACACATTAATGATTGCTTCATATAAGGGAAGAGTCAACCAAGTCCAAATAAATACTTGCCTTGAAATCACTGGCAAAAATACAAAAAATCATAGGTTCCGCGGCACTGCTCATCTATGGCAGCAAGAAGCATCTTTGAGGTATACCTGTCAAAATATTTAAACAAATATAATATAAAAAAGAAACAAATCAAAAGATCAGTGCCAAAGAATTTGCATCCTTTAATCCCTATAAAATTTGTAAAATCTGTCATAAAAAATTGATTAATCAAATAAAAGTATATGTACAATATGCACAGGTATGTGAACAAGAAAAAAGAGAGAGATGGCATTTGTATGGCTAATGCATCCAAAATGAAAAGGGCACAGGCCAAATAAGCAATTGCCTATGTGCAATGTTCTTCATTTAGAAATGGATGAAAAGATAACATCATAAGCAGCAAAAATGTACAAAAAAATAGGGAGACAATTGGCATACTTACTGGGAACATTTTTTTTTATCATAAGTGCTGTTTGGTTGTGTTCCCCACGCAATATGCAGCCTAGGTTGAGTTCATATCGTTTTTCATCAGCATTGTTAGCGTTTGCTTAACTTCTATGATGATAGAGATTTCATTCTTTCATTGGTAGAATCAAATTTAGACATTGGAATTGTTAGGGTCTGAGAAGTAAAATCAAGAAAAAGAAAAAGACTGAAGAATATTGTCAATTTTTATTGATATCTTTAGAAAGAATCATGCTTACAAGAATCCCCCAGAGCTGTTAGCTCCTATACAGAGAATAATTCCCCCTAACAGTATTTTCAGAAAAACCAGAAGTCTCCTTAATCCAGAATCTAACTTTATTTGTAGGATCTATTAACCATATTAACAACTAACTAGCAGTTGACTCCTTCCTTCCCCTCCTCCTAACATAAACCTTCCACACTTTAGGTCTCTTATTAGTATCAATCATATGTTCTTCTTCCATGGTTCTAACAGGAATCATGGGAAGTTTCCCAGCGAAAACATGTGATAACTGCTAGCCCTGCCCAGCATTGGATGTCAATTCTGTACCATTCCCACCAACATGAGGAAATATGTTATGAGAAGAAAAATCAGGAGGACGCAGCACCCAGCTACCAGGAAAACCAGGATTTCCTACAGAACCCAATCTATAACCAGAGCATTAGGTGACTCTCCCAAGTAAGAATGTTATCTTTCCCAGGGTGAGGCTGTAACAACTGATGCTGATCCCACTTGATGGTCTATATGCGATGCTCTCAGCATGAGGTGGTGTTCTAGTAAAGCTGGATATCTGTGGAAGACAAGAAGCACAAGCACCATTAACAAAGGATGGTGTTTTCTCCAAAGCATGCCATTTGATGGAGGTTGCTGATGCAAGTTGGAACTTGGAGCCATTCCACATATGATGAAGTCCATGATGGGGCCAACTCCCATTTCCTGAAGGTCCAAGATAAAACAATATTTTATATACCAGCAATCAAATATAGAGCTATTAAATCTATATTAGATATTGCTTCGTCCTACAATTACCCAGCACCAGCACCTTCTACCACTTACAAGTTGATAGAAAGACTGACTTCAATACCATGATTCAATTCAGAATGCTTAATCTCATATACTCAGACAGGCAAGTCTAAATTAATTTAGATCAATAGTTAGCCTTTTAAATAAAAATTAATTATTTTGGTGTTATTAAAAGAAAAGAATATTTTTGCATCATCATTAAAATTAAAAGTCAAGTTCATTATTGTAAGGTTCTAAATTCCTATTATGCCATTAAGCAGAATGTCCAACCTTGTACATGACACTTTCTAAGCACATTAAACTTACCTCCTTCATGATATTCTACTAGGCTCCCAGTTGAGCTCATTCCCTGAATGTGCCTGAAATGGAACTCTGTGAGTTTACATACAAGTAGTTGAACTCTCAGATTCAAATATCAAAGGCTGAGTAAACTAAATCATGAAATGGAATGTCAGTGTGCAGAAACATGGCATCAATCAGTTCTAAATATGTGATAAAAAAGGGCCAAAATAATTTCAACCATATTTTTCTTGACTCGTTATCTTTAGTACATGAAAGACCAGAAGTTTCATCAAATAAGGAAAATTGATCTATCAAGTTACTAATGTTAAACGATCTAATGTTTATACAACTGATAATAGACTTAACAAAAGAGATAAATGAAAGCATAATGTTCTCAAGAATCAGAACAAAATTACTTTGTCACCTACAACAAGAAATAAACCAAGTATCAGCGTACATCAAAGAAACCAGTCCTTACTGTTGCTGCTATACAATGCCAATAAAAATCAATCTGACCCCTTTCATAAAACATTTTATCGTCAAAGTCCCTTACACATGCCAGTCAACTGGTGCACAAGATCTTTTTCACCAGATTTTGCCAGGAAAACAATAACACTATCTTTGTACAGAGGTCTTAACAGAACTGATTTCTTAATCATTATCTTGGCCAGCTTTGTGGCCTCTGTCAAGTGGCTTCTTTGACAAAGGCCAAGTAAGAGAATAGAATATATATCGGAGTCAATAGAAGACAAGCATCCCATATTGTCAATTGCTTCAAGCAAGTAGAATCCATCCAATACTCGTTCCTTTGTACAGAGCTCCTTCAGCAAAAGACTAGATGCCAAAGTATCAGGTTTGACATCACCAGCAAGCATTTTCCGAAAGAGCTTTTCTGCTTCCTCAAGCCTTTTTATTTTTATCAAAGAAATCACAAGTGAACTGTGACAATCACTGTACGAAACACCATGTTCCACCACAAACTTATCAATCAACCCATAAGCTTCATCAACATGACCGTCGGCACAAAGGCTCTCAATCAAAGTAAAAACAGTAACATGATTAGCATGACACCCAAAAGCTCTCATTCTATCCAAAATATCCAATGCTTCACTCCACTGCCCTCTCTTGCAGAAATTTTGAATCACACATGTATAAGTAACAACATTTGGACTACAATCCCCACTTTTCTCCATTTCCTCCAACAACTCCAATGCCCGTTCCATAGATCCACACCTACACAACCCATCTAAAACGGCTGACAAAACCACCAAATTGGGCAAACATCCATGCCCTCTCATAACCTTGAGCACAGAGTAAGCATCTTCAGCTCGACCCGCAACACACAACCCCTCAACTACAGCCATAAAAGTAATCAAATCAGGACTAAGACCATTCGAACTCATCTCCCTCACCAACTTCTCAGCCACTTCAATATCACCCTTCTTGCAATACAACCTTATAACTACATTATACATCACAGTGTCAGCATTCAAGTCAAAACTCACCACCTTCCTCAACACCCACAAACCCACATCAGCAAGCTGAGCCTCTTTACACAGCTTCAGCACCTCCCTAATCATGTTAACAGTGACTAGACACCCTTCAGCCTCATAAGACTCAACCACATCACAAATAATCTGAGGATTTTCACTAATCCCAAGCAAATTGCAAGCTTTTCTGTACATATAAGCACTGTGCCTATACCCATGTTGAAACCCAGCCCAAACAAAAAACCTAACACCCAATTGAGGTTGCTTGGGATGGCACTTGCTCAGAACTTGAATGACACATTTTGAGTCCAATTTGGGTTTAACCTTAGACAATGAATTTTCAACACTGTCATCGTTTTTGTGAAGATGGGTATAGAGGGTATCGGCAACAGAAGCCATACCCATTTGGTGGATGGAAAAAGGAAAGGTTTTGAGTCTTTGTAAGGATGAGAAGAACCGAAAGTTTGCAAATTGAGGCATTGGGTTTGTGAAGATAGAATGGGGTGTGAGGGCCATGGGAAGAGAAAGATGAGGAAGAAGATGATGGACACAAGCCAGACATAAAATAGTGCTCACAAAGCTTAACGTTTGATTTTTTTGAAGTTGTTCAGTGAGTTCAGTGTGTGCTGAAGAGGAATAATGGATTGATTATCAGCTTAACTTTTCATCATATGAACATGATGGAGGCGGAGTTGTGGGTAAATAGTGTTCCATGAGTGCTTGATGGTGATCTGGTTTAGTGCGTCCACAATGGAAGTCATCCATGAACAGTCTCTGCTTCCTCAAGCTGCACATATTTTCACAAACTTATAATCAGCTTACAATTTTAAAACAAAGCATTAGACAGAGTTAATATTGTTTGACAAAGACAATGAAATTAAAGATAAGGGTGTTTCCGATGCAGTTTGATTCAGTTTTGAAGTCAAGGATCATCCGAGCAAATCATAAAAAGTACATGCGATTTGGTTTGGATCGGTTGGAGTCCAATATCAAAACCAATCCAGACCAAATCACTTAAATGCGGTTTGGATTGGACCTAAATCGGTTTTCAATTTTCATACACCTGTTGTCATAGTTTATATAAAAAGTACACACAAAGTGCAGAAACATATCAAATTCTCACAATAAATTAGATCTCCAAATTGTTATAGAAATACATAATTTATACTCAAATGCACAAACATAAACACGTTTACTTGACACTTTTTCAGTTTTTTATAACTAATTCTTACGAATAGGTATTTCAAAACCAACTGTTCACACACATAACACATACAAATACAGCAAACACGAATACATTAATTATCATCCTTGAAAGTTCATTAATTAAATAAATTGACAGGCAACCTAATCTGTGTTTAGTGAAACTCCATTATAGGAATTTTTAAAACCTCAGAAACAGGTTGGTTTAATAACTATTGGTAGAGGGTTTCTTTCGTAGTTTTGTGATTCCCAGGCATCTAATGCGCCGGCACTAGGGTTTATAGAATGATCTCTGGTATCTTAAGTTCATAGTTGAATTTCCTAACATAGTTATCCTCCGCCAAGAATGAAATGACCCAGTTGTGAATGACAGTTGAGCACTGAACAAAGCACAGCAAAACAACAATGCAGCAGGACATGAAAGCATGAGAGAATGTGGGGATTAAAGTACCTGAAAAGGCCACTAAGCGCTGAGCTCGATTGCCATTGTCGATGGCCTATATAGACATATCTGAGATGGAGGGAGAAAGTGAGGTGAGGCAGAGCGAAGATGATGACAATCGTCAGAGAGGTTGCGGCACAACGGGAGGGTAGACATATAATAGAAGTTGAAGAAAATCAAGGTTTCTGTGTAGGCTCGTTTAGTTCGGGTTTCTCAGCTGGAACCAAGCCCGAACCCAAGAGAAAAGAGCGTCTTTTTTATTTTATTTTATTTTCTGTTTGTTTTCTTAATTTTGTCGATTCTTGGTTATTTTCAGTTGGATTATACAATTTAAAGAGTATTGGTTTGCTTATTCAACACTTCTAATAAATAGTCAGTTTTCAGTAAAATTATAAGATTTAATATTATTAACGCATTAAATTTAAATAGTATTATATAATTTTTTTATAAAAAATTACTATATGTAAATTTTTATTATATGTGATTAATACACATTAAAAATTAGTTAATAAATTATAGAAACTAATTAAAATTTAAAATTAATTATTTTTTAAATAAACATAATATTTTTACTTTTATTTAATATTATTAAACTTAAATTCACTATCAATATTTACTTTTTCGTATTGGACGAGGCACCCTCACTCTTATCATTACTCTTTTTTTTTAATCTCATGGGAAACCTCACCTGACAGTGACTCCTCCTTACTTTACTCACCAAATTGTCTTACAGTACCCCTTTCAAAGCAAAACCGATAGAGCTACATCGAAGGTTTCTTGCTTAGTTCCATGGAGAGTGGTTTGTTTCCATGGATTACGCTCTTGGTGGTGTGTGTGTCTGTTCTTTCCTCGGAATCCAAGTATATAAAGTACAACACTACCTCGTACATTGTTCCTGGGAAGCTCAACGTTCACTTAGTTCCTCACACTCACGACGACGTTGGATGGTTGAAGACCATTGACCAATACTACGTTGGTTCCAACAACTCCATTCAGGTCACTCACACGTTCATTCATGCTCTTTCTCTCTTTCTATCAATGTATCTCAGTTAAGATCTTGACGTGTTGGGGAAGTGCAGGGAGCGTGTGTTCAAAACGTGTTAGATTCCCTGGTACCTGCATTGTTGGCAGATAAGAATCGCAAGTTCATATATGTTGAACAGGCAAGCTAGCTTAATTTGCATCCAATGTCTTGCTTTGAACCATGTCATGGATTCATAAATGTTACTGTATGTGATTGTGTATTACTATTGCAGGCATTTTTCCAGCGATGGTGGAGCGAACAAAGTGAGGCTGTTCACCGCGTAGTCAAGAAGCTGGTCAACTCTGGTCAATTGGAGTTCATGTATTCATCTATCTCATCTTTCTTCATACTGTTTCGGTTAGCTTGTAGAAAGTGGAGATTTGAAAGATTCATAAATGATAGCTACCTTACCGCTTTCTGCCTATTCAATGAAGCACATGATTATTAGTTATTGAATTTTTTTTTTCTTTTTAAATCAAGTTGACAATACATTGCAAATTATAGTTAGGAATTAATAACATAATTTGGGTGAGTTTGAATACACTGATTAATTAAACGCTTATTTAATAAGTTCTTTTTAAATGATAGCTTATGCATTAAATATAACTATGAAACCTTTTAGGATAAGATAAAACAATTTATTTTGATAAGTTATATTAATAAATTTATTGAAATAAACTAAAAAAAACTTATTGGAGTCTTCAATTATTTTGATAAGTTATTTATAAGCTCTTCTAAACAGGCCTTTTATCCAAAACTTTTGGTTATTCTTTAACTAGTGTTATAAGGATATTGGTTAGTATTTGGCTTAATTATTATAACACTAAGCAAAAGTATTTTTGTTTTCCATTATTGCAAGTCAATGGAAATTTGATAAGTGACAGCTGTTTTTCTGTTTTGAAGTACTAGTATTACATTGAGTTAGCTTCAAGGATTTTCCTTTGCAGAAATGGTGGTTTTTGTATGCATGATGAGGCTGCTACTCATTATATTGACATGATTGATCAGACAACTCTTGGGCATCAATTTCTCAAAGAAGAATTTGGCGTGACTCCGAGAATAGGATGGCAAATTGATCCATTTGGGCATTCTGCAGTGCAGGCCTACTTGTTGGGAGCAGAGGTACTGTTTAGCCCAAGTATATACTAGATTTGATTGAGAGAAAAAAATTATATTAAAGTTGATTTATCAACATAATCTCCTTATTTTTTCTGTATAGCGTTGCTACTTGTTTCTTGAGCACAATCGTTGTTGGCATAGGTTGGATTTGACTCTCTATTCTTCGCACGGATAGACTACCAAGATAGAGCTAAGAGAAAAAATGAAAAAACTCTTGAAGTTGTGTGGCGGGGCTCTAAGAGTCTTGGTTCATCTTCACAGGTGAGTAATCCAAAGTGGTTCATGTTTATATTGATGCTGCATAGGACAAGAAAACAATGTTCTTTGCTTGCTTCTGTTTGATTCACTTAATTGTCCCTTAAATTCTTTTACTTACAAATCCTTAAAATTGTTAATGGTTACAGATATTTTCTGGTGCATTCCCTGAGAATTATGAACCTCCCAGTGGATTCTACTATGAAGTAAATGACGATTCTCCCATTGTTCAGGTAAGATCCAAGTCAGATATTGTCATAGGGACAATTTCATTTTGTTTGAGTGTTAAGTAGACTTTTTCCTTTTTCTTTTTTCAACCTGAAGGATGATGTCAATTTATTTGATTACAATGTCCCCCAAAGAGTAAATGAGTTTGTCACAGCTGCAATATCACAGGTATGAAATTTATCATAAGACTCGATGTTTGGTTCTATAAACTGCAGTTGGCTTTATTTAAATGATTTTACTATATAGAATTGATGTGTCTGAAATTATGAGAAATGAAAATAGAAATACTCCAAATGAAATACTATTTTCAATTCATATTTATTGTGATTCAAATGATCTAAAGCTTATCAGTTCGACATAGAAAATGATTTGAGTCAGAAATTCCAATGGCTGTCCTGTTTCAGGCCAAAATTATGCGCACAAATCACATAATGTGGACAATGGGGACCGATTTCAAGTACCAGTATGCAGAGACCTGGTTTCGGCAAATGGACAAGTTTATTCACTATGTTAATCAAGTTATTATCTGTTACTCTTTGCTTAATTGAGATTTTCTTTTTCTGTTTACTTAATTATTGCATTTTAGCTATTTAATATTGTTCTCCTTGACCTGCTAAGTTTGACTGATCTAATCCAAGGTAAAATATATTCACTTTGCAGATAAATGACATTTTATATGATTTACTAAGCTACCTAATTTTCCATTGTCCATCTGCACATGAATTCAAATCAAATTCACCTTTTCTTTTTAGTTTAGAGTGCTTTGACATACTAATGTGACAGATGGATAATGCTTATTTAGGATGGCCGTGTTCATGCCCTATACTCGACTCCATCAATATATACTGATGCAAAACATGCTGCAAATGAGGCCTGGCCAATCAAGACTGATGACTTCTTTCCGTGAGTTCCAAATGCAAAATGTGCAATATATGAGCTACCAACTCAATCATGTTCAAGAAAAAGCTACACATTGTAGCTTATGGTTGCAACATGATTTTGGTCTACTTGGAAGAGCTTATTGAAACAACTTACTACTCCAATAAGCTCTTTTAAACTTATTTCAATAAGCTTCTTGTTATAGCTTATCCAAATAAGCTGTTTTCATCTTATTCCAATAGGTTTCATGGTTAAATTGATGGTGTGAGCTATCATTTTATTAAATAGCGCTTAGTTAAACTATGTCTTCAAATGCACCTTTGAGAATAACATTTGGTTGGCTGCACTTCCTACATCAACAATGGCTTCATGTTTAGCTGCATATTTAACTTTCTTCTTCTTTCTCAATTTATAATCTCATATTTTAGACCATGCATTCATTAGGTATGCTGATCGTGTAAATGCCTATTGGACGGGATATTTCACAAGTAGACCAGCTCTCAAAGGTTATGTTAGATTGATGAGTGGCTACTACTTGGTAAACCTTCTAACTGTTGTTAATTGAATTAAGTATTTGGTTAGATTTAAGATACTCTAAGAGGATCCTCTTTTCAGATGGAAGCTGTGATTAAGAGTATGATAAATTTATAATTGATTCAACCTTGCTTTCCACTGGAGTGAATATTTTGGAATGTTATCAGAATTCCCCAACTTGCCTCTTATTGCCCTTCAATCTTGAAACAGGCAGCAAGGCAGTTGGAGTATTTTAAAGGGAAGAGTGCCTTAGGTCCTAAAATTGACCCTTTGGCTGAGGCTTTAGCTATTGCTCAACATCATGATGCAGTATCTGGTACAGAAAAGCAGCATGTTGCTGATGATTATGCTAAACGACTTTCAATAGGATACACAGAGGTAATAATAATGTTTTTTCTCTTTGAACTTTATTGTCTTAATTATAACCCCAATTTTTTTTTTTACCTTTTCAATGTCTTATTTAGGCTGAAAAAGTTGTTGCAACATCACTTGCATGTTTGACAGAGGGGGCAACTAAAACAGGTTGTAGGAGTCCACAGATTAAATTTCAACAGGCAAGCAGTGATGTTCCTTTGTTCAACAATTGTGAACTGTTGTACCCTGCTTACTTTACTAGCCTACGGTCTGTTGATTACTAGTCTTCAAATAACATCATAAGGCATATGGCTTTGTGATGACTACAATTTATTGCATAATTCAATCTATAGAGTAGATTACGTTCAAGATAAATTACTCAGTACTATGGTTACCCCTAAATGTGTATCATTTTCCTTCCCTTTTCTTTTTCTTTTGTATGACAAAGAAGCTCATGAACTTATGCATGTCAATGCTCTGATAATATCACTTTTGACAGAGATAATCCAAAAATTCAATGCTGGTAATCCTATGCCTTTTTTTCTAAAATTTTTACATATATTTCATGAATTAACCATTGTTTCTTTTGAACATTTTTTATGGAATCAACAAAATTATTATTCAAGAAAATAGTGTCTACAGATTTTGAGAAGAAGAGACTACAAGGATTTACAGGCCTTTCATGCGTGTTTTACTGGAGCAGATGCATTTAATAGACTAAAGCATCAGTAATTGTTATGCACCATTATCTATGTAACAAATTTGAGAAGGTTTCAGGTTTTTTTGAATCCTTTTAGACATTCATATTTTTTCCCAATGAGAAATTATCAAGGAAGTAAAACAAAATCAGGAATTTACAATTCATAACTATCAGAAAGCTTATTATGCAATTTCTTGAAGTAGTTTCTAGC